CCAGATATAATCATATCATTTCCTCACATTTAAATACCTTCAATATTTTCTCTTCGCCTATTAATACAAGTTCCTTTAAATGTTTATAAGTTTCAATAACATGATCCTGGCCTTTCCTTTTAGTCTTAACTTCACACTGGTCACTTCCTATCCATACATCACATTGAACTCTATAACCAAAAATGTCTTACAGTTTCACTGATTTTTCTTTTTTCCTCTCAACATTTGCACTCCTTTCACAAATTTTAACTGAGATAAATTTTCAACTCTTCCTCCATTTCAGTTTGTCATTTCCAAGAAGTTTACAGTTCCATTCAAACTTTTGATAAATATTTATTACCAGTCTACTATTAATCAAGTATTATCTTAGGCAGTTGAATATATATTAATAAATGAAACACATTGCCTTTCCCTTCTAACATAAACACCACACAACACTAACCACATTTGATTATAACTACAGGGGCTGGGGATGTAGCTCAGCGGCATAAGCACCTGCCTTGCAAACAGGCAGTCGTGAGTTCGATCCTTGGTACTGATAAAAAGGAAAAAGACCAAAAAAAAAAAAAAAAAAAAAAAAAAGATTGTAGACTGTAACTAATACTGTATCAAGTATGAGCTAAAATCAGTTTAATTATAATATTAACTAATTCATAAGACAGTAAAGGAAGATCTACTAAGCACCAATCATGTGACAGGGAGGCCCATTGTTCTCAGCTAAACTGGAAGACCTGAAAAGGTTTAAAATATCAGTTCTAATAACCATCTCAAATGAACTATAGATAAAAAGATTTAGTTTCTAATTCTATTTTTGCAATTACCCTCTTGATTTTAAACCCATCGCTTTTTATAAACCTCATAGTCCTAAGTGTAATATAGAAATAATTAAATTAGTATGAGTATAAAGACTTTCAAAGTATATTTCTTGTCAGGTTCAAAAGCATTTAAACAATCTGAAAAATGATAAATAGGAAACATCAAATAATGAATTTCTAATCTGTAGTAAAATATAAACTGTGTATTTAAGAAAATGCCACTAAACTAGTTAATATGAATACCTAGTTAGATTAAACTGCTTTATGAAATAATATCTAACAAAAGAGAGGAAAAGAAAGTGCTCTAAACTATATAACTGCATGTATATTTAAGTGTATAAGATAGAATATGATATCACAGAGTTTTATTGGATCATTGAACAGAACTGTTTGCAGTATCATTGATGGAATGTCCACTTTACAAGCTTTAATTTTGTGACTTGAACAATTATTTCTAAGAGGACAATATGTAATCCATTAACTAGTGATTTCCTACTGTTCATTTTTTTTCTGCAAATCTGTATAACTTGTACCCTTTCTCTGCTTTTTTTTTCTTTTCTCCTTGAATAAAATTAAAAAAAAAAAAAAGCCAACAGAAAAAAAAAAAAAAAAAAAAAGAAATAATATCTAAAGCTAAATCAAATGATTTAGTGTATCATCTACCGTCTCATAATATCTCATGATCATTCTCTAATTAAAATTCTGTTTTTTTCTTCAGGGTTCAACTCAGATAAAGAGTCAGATTCTGAAACTGAGTTCTATCCATCAGCCTCTCAAGAGAAAAATTAGTCTAAAATATTGTAAAGACACATAAATGAAGCAGTCTCAAAGTAAAATTACTCAAACCAACCAAAAAACTTGACATACTTCACATCTATGACAAAAGATAATCAATGTTCTATATTTGGTAATAATTTGTCTAAAAACACTTGTAGGGAGATATAATGAACAGCATAAAACAGATTCAATATCCAACCTTCTATTCCATCTCTAAAGCAGAAGCTTAACAAAGGAAAAGCAACAAATTGGTCCCACTGAGGAAGAACCTTTTCTTGCTTTGAACTTGCTAGAGGGCAAACAGGCTTCAGGTATGTCAGTCCCAAGTGACTACTATAGCCAACTCAACTAGCCAAATTTCAAATACAGAAGAAAAACACTAGTCAAAATGTCCTAAACTTTTTAAAAAAATCCTTCTCCATTTCTAAAAAATTATACTGTGTGTGTATATATATAACATATCTATAATGATACTTTTTTTTCAAAAATACTTCTCAACAAACAGAAGTATCCTAAGCTACAGCAGTAAGAAATGTTACTAGAGTTCTAGACCACAGCTCTTCAGTTTCTTTCTTCATTTCTCTTTCAGAGAAATGCAAAAGTTTTTTTGTTACTAAATATTTTACTTATCTTCCTAACCTACTTTTACTAGTCTACAACAGCTTTATAAATCGTCAGATTAAAGAAACAACTAGTAAAAACCCACAAACAGAATGCTCAAGAAGGAAATACTTAAATTTTCACAATGCAGATTAATGCCTTTGCTTGGAAATAGTTATCAACAATAACACTAAGTCTTAAACCACAATTATAGCCACTTTATTTCAGCCTGAGTGAAAGAAGATTTTGAGAACATTTTTTTTCTTTTCAAAATGCTTACAATTCTGCCTCTAGATTGTCCTTCCTGGCTTCTCCCCATTCCCAAAAAGAAACTCAAATGTTAAATACTGCCATCTGCACTGAAATCTCCATAAACTGAGAGCTAAATAAGCCTTTCCCTCCTTAAAATAAATAAATACATACATACATACATACATACATACATACATACTGCTGTCTGCTCCAGACAGCAATCTGGATGCCTGTTTTTTTGAGAGTGAATTCTGTTATCTGACCTATGTTTAACAAACATCTAGTACACACAGTACCTAAGCACTACACTACTAGAATGAAAGAGACAGGGAAGTGTCTTCAAAGTACTCATATTCTTAATTGATAAAAGACATACTCCAATTACAGTGTATCCAGGCCTGGCTCAAAGCTTGTAACATATTACTTGAAACAGATTATTTCAGGAAAAAAGCTGACAACCAGGGGAAAGGACATTGGCAACTAGGAAGACAGCAGGTATTGAAGTGTTACAACATATACTTAGGACTAACAAATATGAAATATCAGACAGTTTATTTATGTAATCCTACACACAGGGCACAGCTGCAGTGAAATGATTATATGCTTCATAATAAATGATTCTGCAGGTAATGGAGAAAAATAAAGGAGACAAGTAGAAGAAAGAAAGCAGTACACAAAAGTTGGTAAGTAACACTAGAAATCTGGCAACTCCAATAAACAAAATTACATACTGAACATAAATAATTTATGGTTTGGTCCCACAATTGAATATTATACACCAATAAAAAGAACCAACCACGCATATATTCCCAATGACACGGATGAAATTCAAAAAACATGATGTTAAATGAGAAAAATTAAATATATAACTCTACATATATAAATGCCAAGAAAACTAAACAAAATCTATGCTAAATTTTTAAAAGATGTTTACCTCAAGAGAAGATACTAGACTGGAAAAGGAAAGAGCATAGGAAACTTTTTGCATAATGAAATTTGTGTGTATTAATCTAGATGTAGTTTAGTTATACATTAAGAACTTAGGAGTCATTCAGCTCTATACCTCAAATTCTACAAGGTAGCATATGTAAATTATACTGTGATGAAGAACAAACAACATATATAACTGTGATAAAATATGGTCAACAGCCAAGTCACGGTTATCCTACAAGCAATGATCAATCTTGTAAGCAATCAGAAGAAAGAATCTATTGCATACTGAACTAGAAAACAAATTTCCTATAAAATCTTGAAGCACAAAACTGGCTTCTCCATCTCAAGACATCCTATAAAATCTTGAAGCACAAAACTGGCTACTCCATCTCAAGACAATCTACATGCAAATGGTCCCTATAATAAATGTTACAAAAATAAAATACTCTTTATGAAAGAAAAAAAATGTTTTCCTATACAACAGCACCTGCCAAATAAGAGGTACACTAATAAAGGAATGAGCAGCAACAGAATGCATAACACAAACACTATTCTTTAAACTACCACTAGTATCATTACACACTAGCAATAAAATGAAGTTTTGCTTCAAAGCATGCTTAAGTCACTGAGACATTATCTAAATACACATCACTCAACTATAGCACTTCTCATCTTGTGCATTTTTTAAACAAATACTGAAATTAGCGAATTTTCTGACAAGACAGAAAATTTCTTAGATTGGAGAAAGGCTTAAGCTAAGTGAAATATTATCAGTGTTGTTTTTACACTAAATTTCACTTACCAATTACACATAATTTCACTTACCAATAAACACATTTATTAACATCTTACATTATTAAAAATGTGTTCTTTTACATAACAGGCAGAAATAATGTCAATTCAATTTTTAATAAATTTTTGGTAGTACTGGGCAATTACCCAGGGCCCTCACAAAGTTGCTCATTCTAGGCTCAAACTCATGATTTTCCTGCCTTAACCTCCCAGTGTGCTGGAATGACAACTGTGTACCATCATGCCAGGGTACAATTCTTTGCTGAACTTAACAGTCTTAGAAAACATCTTAGAATGCTACATTAGAAAAGTCATTCAGTAGACATACACACAAAAGCAATATTAAGATAATAATTTACAGTTCTGCACACTACAGTAACAAACAGAAGCCACAATTTGGAGGCTCTCATTAATTTATTAACAAAATAACATTTATGAAAGGAAAGACTACTTATATATATTACCTAAGAAAAGCAGTGAAGTAATTCAATAAATCTTACACTGAACTGGTGAAGAGTTCAGTAATAGTCACTAAACCAAACATTATCTTCATTTTTTAGAATGTTAAGGCAGTCACTGGGAATTTGTACGCTTTAGACAACCTCAACACAAAAGAAGAAAACCTAAGAATTTAGTCTCACAACTTGATGGGTTTTTTTCACTCCTATCAAATCAAATGAACGAAGTTTATCAAAAAGTCAATTCTTCACATTTCAAACTTTTATTTAAACATTCTTTTATTCTGGACTTGAAAGCATACTTTTAAAAACCACTTTCTATATTATTCCTACCTTGATATATAACATTTAACAAAGTAATTTTCCAACTTACCTAGATTTTGTCTTACTAACATCTCGCTGCAGGAACAATCTCATCCGAAATTAAATCAAACCTGAAAGGATACATGTAAAAACCACTGTTTAGTTTTTTGCTTCTAGCATAAAAAAACTACATTTTTTAATAAAGAGCTGCAAATTATTTTCTTAATAAAACACCTAAAAAAGTGTTCAACTAAAACATGATCACTTTAATATAGCGGAAAAAACAGTGCTAAGTACTTTTTTCTGAGTAACAAATTTTGTTGTCTTTTCTTTTTGTCTTTTTGAGACAGGGTCTCACTATGCAGTTCAGGCTGGCCTTCAGCTCACTTTGTAGCCCAGGCTGGTCTCCAACTTGCAACGATTCCCTTGCCTCAGCCTCCCAAATGCTGGGATTACAGGCATGTGCGACCATGCCCGGCTAAATTTTGTTCTTTTAAAATATTTTTATAACTTTTTAATGATTTTCATAGCACAGAAATGGCAATAATCAGAGTTAGTAGTCATTCTTCAGTATCTATAGGAAATTGTTTCCAAGAATCCCTCAAGAATAGATAATGTGTAGATGCTCAAGTACCTCACATAAAATGGTCTTTGCACATAACTTACACATATTCCTTCAGTGCTTTAAATTATCTCTAAATTACTTATACAAAGTACAATGTAGACATTATATAAATAGATATTGCTACTAAATTGATTACAGATTATAAAGAAAAAATCTGTACATACTTAGCATAAACACAATTAGTTTTTCTAAATGGTTTAAGTCCAAGATTGGCTGAATTCAAAGTTGCAAAGTCTACCAATAGAGAAGGCTGACTGTATTTAATATTGACATATTTCTGTTAGTGTTTCTAATTATCATTAACTTATCTGAAATATGTCCTCATAATTGAGTAACGAAAATACAATGGTTATCCCATATATACTTTTATCTTTTCAGTACTACTCATCAGTGATCTCACTTTTATCTCTCTCCAAACACTTTTTCTTATCCATGTTTCTACCAAACTACAGCTCTCCAGTTCTCAGAAAAGCACCTCTCTAAGCAGACTCTCTGCTTTCATGCCTTTTCACAAGGTAAACTGTAATTATCTACCTATAACTACTTTCCACCTCTCTTTACCCTTGCTAACACCTTTTCACTAGTTCTCCAATAAAATTAGCTTAGTCTTAGTCAGTCTGGTATATCCTCCTTTAATTCCTTCAGCTATATAAAACTTTCTCAATTACTATTGCAACTAGTACAGCTATCAACCTTCTCTGTTTATTTACGTATTTTCCAAACTACAGTAGAAACATACTAAGGACAAGAATTCATTTATTATTATTAGCACTTTTATTGGATGACACAGTAAAGCTTAGCAATGTAGGCTAAATAAGAGAATCAAATTCTGTATTACAATCCAAATATATTTGGGATATAGATGATAAGCAAGAAAAATGGGCTAATCCATTTAATTCACATCTAAACAGACTGCAGGACAAAATCATTTACTGCTCCCAGAAAAATTAATATGAAATAATCATCTCAAAATAAAAATACAACTGACAAAAATCATTCTAGTTCAGTCTTTTGTTGAGTGAATGTTTATTTCTCATTATTAGTACCAGGATTTTGGTACTGTTTTTATCCTTACAGAAAACGAAGTTTATGACCCAGAAATCCTATACTTACACTTCAGCAAGAAAAGTCGCAGAGGAGACAAATACAATTTTAGTACTAATAGCATCAATAATCTACTAAATGGTTCTCAAAACTTTAGACACAGCTTATTAGACACTGTCCCCTTCCCCCAGTCCTACTCCAGCAGGAATACACTGAAGCCTTCTAAGTTGCACTAAATTACTAAGTTCCTGAGGTAATGCTATGTTTGGGAACACACACTGAAAACCACAGATCTAAAATTTTATACAATTCCAAGGTTCAGAATACTCTCTCTGCCACCAAGTGCCATCAACTTCAAGTTGCCTAGTGCTGGACACTGGGATCTTTCACGAACTATACACTATAAAAGAAAGTGAAAGCATTAGAAGTCTATCCAAATTGCTGAGTTTGATAGGCTAGAAAATGGTTCCATAAAATATATTCATGCCCTGATCCCTGGTAGCTATGTATGTTGCTTTATATGTGGGAGGAAAACCAAGGTCTCTGCAAATCTGATTAAGAAATCAGGGGACAGGGCTGGCAATATAGCTCAGAAGCACAGTGCCTGCCTGGCAAGCATGAGGTGATGAGTTTGCTAGGTGCAATCATATCTATCTGTTAGAAGAAAGAAAGGAGAAATTTGTCTCCACCCAAGGGAGGAGGCAATGAGAAGACAGGCCATAAAAATTTGAAAATGCGGGCCTTAAAGATTGGAGGGATATGATCATGGTCAGAAATACCAGCCTCAGGAAAACACCAAAAAAAAAAAAAAAAAAAAAAGAAAGAAAGAAAAAAAAATTTAGATACAGATATACACAAGATAGCTAAGATAACTGTACTACTAATTCTATTAGTTCATGGAAAGAAACTGTGAGTGCTTATATTGTTTGATCTATTTTGCATGCCTGTATCTTATAATCTGAGCAACTATTTCAAAGATGATAATATGGAATATAGTGATTATTAAAAAGAAAAAAAAAAAGGACACTCCTGTAAAGCCTCCAAAGGGAGAACATCTGTAACAACTCGGATGTTTGCCCTGTAATTAATAATGTCAAAATTCTGGCCTCCAGAATTCAGAGAATAAATTTCTACGTTATTTAAGCCACTCAGGTTGTGGTAATCTGATAGAACCGCTATAAGAAACTCACATACTAATGAAGGCAGACTTCAGTAGAAATGAATTAGAAGCACCTCTACATAAAAGGTACTATAAACTGAACTCTGTCCTTCCCTCCAAAACTCTAACCCTGTATCTAAATGTTTGAAGAAAGAAAGTTTCAGAGGTAAATTAAACAAGATCATAAAGATACTGCCGTAATCCAGTATGAGTAATCCATGTAAAGAGAACAGGCATGCTTATACAGAGGAAAAGCTGTCTACAAGGACAAGAAGGATCAGGAGAAATAAAACCTGCCAATATTGTGATCCTGAACTTTCAGTTTTCAGAACTGTTTTTCAAGTTACACACTCTTTGTTATTTTGCCATGGCAGCCCAAGAAGGTAAATATACAAAAAAGAATACATAGGTACTATATGCTTTAAAATGGCTTAAATAGTAAATTGTCAGGGGCAGTCACTACAATAAAAATAAAAGCCTATACAAATACCAAATATGCACATAAACCAACTTCAGTAAGATTTTTATTCTGCTCTGTTCAATTATACCTCACCATTCTGCACAACAAATTATGAAAGCATATTCTTCCTGAAATTTTGTATCTTTTGATAAACACTGCCCCTTTTTCCATCCGCTCTTCCATCTTCACATAGCCTTAGGTAAACACTACTCTATTCTCAACATTTTTGGATTTCTCATTTAAGTGAGATCATGTGCTATTTGTTATTCTGGTTTGATTTCACTTAGCATAAGGTCCTGAGCAAAAGGTCACCCACCTTGCCAGTAGTGACTCAATTTCTTTCTTCGGAGGCTGAACAATATTTCATTCTGCCTATACATTTTCTTTATCAACTCATATAATGATGGACTATTGGACTGCTCCCATATGTTAGCTATTGGACATTGATATCACAATGAATACAGAAATACAGAAACCTCTTTAGCATAGTGATTTCAACTACTCTGGACATAAACCCAGAAGCACAATTACTAGATCCTATGGAACCTCCATGCTAGTTTCCATAATAGCTATATTAACTTACATTCCCATCAATGGTGCAAAAAGGTTCTCTTTTCTCCATGTCCTTACCAATATTTGTTATCTTTTATCTTTTTTATTTTTTTCTGGTACTAGGGATTGAATGGAGGTCTTCACTCTGAACTATATCACCGTCCCTTTATTTTAATTTTTTTATTTTAAAACAGGATCTCTAAGTCACTAATTTGCCCAGATGGGGCTGGAATTAGGATGCTATCTCCTTAGCCTTCCAGAGAACTAAGATTACAGACATGGGCCACCATTCCCAGTTTTCTCAACTTCTGGTAACAGCATTTAAAAAAGATCTTTTTTAAAGAAGGTGAATATTAAAATATTTTCAAATTCACACCTAAAAAGTATAATACTGTTTAAGCGCTGAGAAAGATGTACAAAAGAGAGTCTAAGGAAAAATGACAACAAAATATAATGTATCCTGGTACACACACAAAAAAGACCAGTTGCATTTCTACACACAAACAATAACAAATCAAAAAAGAAAATTAAGAAAAGTTTCACTACAATAACACAAAAAACATTAATTTAACCAAGGATGAGATTTCCTGTACACTGAAAGCTACAATACACTGCTAAGAGAAATCACAGAAGACACTAATAGAAAGATATCCTGGGTTTGTACGTTGGAAGACCTTGTTAAAAGGCCAGTACTACCCAAACAATTGAAAGATTCGAGTATAAGACCTATTAAAACCCCAATGGTGCTTTTTGAAGAAACAGGAAAATTTATCCCTAAATGCATATGGAATTTCATGTGACCCTCAAGTGCCAAAAACTCTTAAAAGGATGATAAATTCAGATTTCAAAACACTAAAAAGCAACCATAATCAAGACAGTGATGGTAATGGGTTAACAACATATAAAGACCAATGGAAGAAATCAGAGCCCAGAAATAAGCCCAAACCCTTATGATCACATAATTTTTGACAAGGTGCCAAGACTACACAATTGCACTGCTTGGAAATAAGGAAATAATAGGAGAGAATTAACAACATACATGAAGAAAATTCTGAAAATAAATACATGGTCGTTGGTCATTCTCACTGTGATGATATTTTCTATGTATACGCAGTTATCAAATCTGTTTAAAACTGTAAATTTTAAACATAATTTATTATGTCAATTATACTTTAATAACTTTAAAATTCACAATATGCAAAGAATAAAGTTAGTGAAAAATTTGAACCTCAAATTTAAAGTTAAAATGACAATAAATTAACACAAAAAGAATACTATCATTTATAAACAA